AGATTTCCATGAGATAGCTCATCCAGCCAACATTAAGATGTAGCCTGATGTGGAACGTTTGCTATCTTGGCATCCTGCAAAATCGGAGTCAGAGAACCCGATGACCTCTAAACTCTCTGATCTCCAATAAATAAGCATGTAGTCTTTTGTTCTCTTCAAATAACGCATCACGCGTTTGGCTGCCTTCCAATGCTGCATGCCTGGATCACTTTAATATATGTCCAAAACTCCCACTATAAATGTTATGTCGGGAAGAGTACAAACTAGAGCGTACATTAGACTCACTACTACTGACGCATATGGAATCTTCTACATCTCTTTTCTTTCAAGATCATTATTGGGGTACTATTTGAGACTAAACTTGTCTCCTTTAGCGATGGGCGTGTCTCCTAGTTTACAATCTTTCATGCCAAATCTACTCAAAACCTTATCGATATAGTTCTTTTGTGACAACTCAAGAATACCTCTAAAACGATCTCTTAGGATCTGAATACCTAATACAAAAGAAGCGTCCCAAGATCTTTCATATCGAATTTCTTCGTTAGAAATTTCTTGATTTCGTGTAGTAAGCCTATAGCGCTACTAGCAAGCAGAATATCATCATTATATAGTAACAAGAAGATATATTTTTACAAAGCCATCAACAACATTCGCCTCAAAATCGTATGAGGAGATGACTTGATGGAACTTGTGATACCATTGATGGGAAGCCTGTTTGAGATCATAGATGGATTTTTTCAACTTGTAGGCTATAGACTTTGGATCTCCCGATACAGTTTTTTGGCTGTACCATGCAAATCGTCTTGTCAATGTCTCCATTGAGAAATGTAATCTTGACATCCATCTGATATATCTCCAGATCAAAATGAGCCACCAGTGCCATTATTGATCTAAAAGAGTCTCTTGAAGATACCGGAGAGAAAGTCTCTTTGTAGTCTACGCCTTCCTTTTGAGTAAAGCCTTAGTGACTAGACGAGCCTTATATCTCTCGATATTGCCCTTTGAATCCCTTTTGATTTTAAATATCCATTTACAATCAATGGGATTTACACCTTTAGGCAACTCGACGAGATCCCAAACGTCATTGTCTTTCATAGATTTCATCTCATCCTTCATGGCATCAATCTACTTCTGAGAGTTAGAAATGCGCATGGCTTGATGGAAGTTGATCGGGTTATCCTCTATTAAACCAACGTCATCC